TATCAGATGGAAATGAGGCATTTTATCCGATATGCCCACTTGGGTTGGAGTGGGCTTACAAACAGTAGGATGGATATTAAAGAGACACATTGTAACCTTGTCTAGGAGAAAGAGAAGTGAGAAAGAATTTTAAGTAGACCATGTGTTCTTCAAAATCATAGGTTTGGGGGACAGGAAGTGATCTCTTTTTCTAAGCATCCTGAGGTCTTGGTACTCACTGGAGGTCCTTTGTAAGCTAAATTCAGACCTGGGCAGAGACTGGTATTCAGACTCCCTTTCCTGTGCCCTCTTCTGTGCATAATGCTGCTCTCCAGCTGTAAGGCGCTCAGTTGTACCACCTTTTTCCTTTCATACAAGAGGAAGCTAATTTTCTGACCGTATCTCCGAGGCTGATATAGAATGTACCTGTGATCCTCTAGAAAAATCTGGTTTGTCCAGCACTGAGCCAGAGATGCTCAGCCAGAAGCCGGGCTATATCCTGGCTGTTGGTTGATTAACTGGTAACCTTAGTCAACTATTCACGTCTGATCAGTTTTCCTCATCCACAAAGTGGATCACTGTCCCACTGTTCCCACTGTCCAGCTGGTGGGGACAACAGCATGCTATAGGCCAAAGTGACTCTGTCTTGCTGCTCAGCAGAACTGGTGCTGGGTGCTGATTCGCCCTGGTATAGACAGTCAGCTCTGTTTCCTCAAGGCAAACCTACTAGGTGGCATTCTGGGGTCCAGGAAAAGGCATGTGAGCTGAGTTTATTACTAGGGAATTGATGCCAGGCCACTTTGGTTCATGTCCCGCCCCCCCCCACCCCACCCCACTGCTGTCCTGAAAACCCCCAAGCTCTTCCCTTGCATTTGACTCAATTCGAGCTAATAGGTATTGAGCACCTACTATGTGCCAGGTGCTGGGCTATGCCTAGGAAAACATCAGTCCATGTCCTCAATCCAAAGCCTGTGGTAGATTTTCCTGGCTGGTATCACAGCACAGAAAACACACATACAAAGAAAAAATTATGCCTGGCACCTGGGGCCCAGCAGCGTCCCGTAAGAGCTGACCTGACATACTGGAGTGCCCGGAGTGCAGAGCCACCCTTTCCCCAGGTGTTTGTAAAGCTTTCTAATAAAAATCACATTCCCATCAGGAGGGGGCTCTGGCTCTCCCTTCTCCTCACTTTTTTGCATGCCTTCTTTTGGGTGGCTCTGTGTTCTGTAATCAGTATGAGACATATTCAGGTTTACATCCTGAACTTCGTCCTCTCAGTAAGCATCACCGGGAGCCTGCTGTGTGCCGGACACGGGGCTAGGTTCTGAGGACCCGCTCCTCCAGGAGCCCACCTCGGGCTGAGGACACATTCACTGATTGATTCATTCACCAAAGAATCTTTGTTGAGTGCCAACTGCAAGCCAGGTCTTGTGCTAAAGACTGGGGCTCTGCTTGTGCGCCCTCCCTGCCTCCAGAGGGCTGTATGCTGTCCAGGGGGAGAGAGGATAAGTACATCCTTATGCAAATGATTATATAGAAACAACTGTTTTTGTTAAATGCTGTGAAATAAAAGAGTAGAGACTACAAGTACATATAAAGGGGGATCAAAAATAGCCTGGAGGAATCCCAGAAGGCTGCTTGGAGGAAGTGGTAGCTGAGCTGAGACCTAAGGGAGCAAGGCCGGAGACAGGCAGGGGACAGGAGTCCTCAAAGGTGAAGGAGCTTAGGGGGCATTGAAGGACCTCAACTGAGGGTGCCTGGCACACTAGGGTGTGGGGAGAGGGTGACTGAGAGTAGACAGAGATGAGCCTGGGGAGACAGGGGATCCTGCAGGCTCTGGAACATGGAGCCTTTCTGCCCAGACCAATGGGAAGCCACCAGGGTGACTGAGCCAAGGTACCGCTAGGAAACCTTCCTATGCCTGGGAAGAGAAAGAACTGGAGCTCAGTGCTGGTCACTTGCTTTGAGCTAGTTGCTGACTTCTCTGGACTCAGATACCTCAAGTGTAAAAGAGGGTGGTGGCACCTCCTGTACTACAGAGAGCAAGTGAGATGGCCTGGCACACATGAGGGGCACTGGCACCACGCCATCTGCCCACTGGGGAAGCAGCTTTCACATCAGCTAAGTGCCCCTCAGTAACGACAGCTGGACCTGAAGTGAGATTGGTGTGGTGGGGGGGGGGTATGTGGGGAGCCTCACGCCCACAGGCCCTGAGACCACCTTCCTTCTCCAGCGTCTCATCTGCACTGGAGTGGGGTTTGCTGGTATGCCCTGATGCAGCACAGATCCGAAATGCTTGCTTCCCCCAGCGCTCAGGCACGGAAGCCACGCAGCAGGGAGACGCAAGGCCGGGCACCCGCCAGCTCCTCCTCCGGCTCTCCCCATGTGGGCTTCTCCGCTCGCCCATCAAATGCTTATCTCACTACTTTCCCTTTGCCGCCAGGGTGCCTCACCCACACAGGCAAAGAGGGCGCAGGGGAAGAATGTGGATCATGGAGTCCAACAGGCCTGAGTCCAAGAAACTGGGAGGAGCCCTGGAGCTTCGGTGTCTGCCACAGTGGTACCCAAGCCCACCCACCCGCCTAACGGGGTGCCCTGGAGAATTAGTGAGGAAAGGAAAGGAAAGGCCTGAAGTCAGAGGGCGTGGTAAAGGTGGCTGTGGTGACAGTGAGTGATAGCGGGGAGAGACCCGGATCTTCAGACACCTGACACTTAAATATTTTCCCTGAGACAAATCTGGCTCATCTGGTGGCCTTGGACTAACAGAGCAGATGTGTGCCTTCCTATAGGTCAATTAGAGCTCAGTATCCCCCGCTTCCTCCTCCCCCGAGAAAATCACCCACCTTTACTTCCTTGGACCCAAACTCATGGGTGAAACCATCAAAGTCATTTCCATGTGACAGTGATAAAACGTTCCCTCAGTGTGCAAGCCGGGCATCCCTTCTGATTCTGTAAGATGCTTCCGCATGGCTAAGTTTGGTCTCTACCTAGCCCAGCCAGTGGGTGTCTGGGGGCCGGCATGCCCACGGCTCCCCACACCCCACTCCTACCCACGGTTCCACCACTTCACTGCCCAGTGCTGGCTGCCGCCCAAGGTCCTCGGTGTGAGGAGGGAAGGTGGGCCTCCCAGCTTGCTGCTTATGAGAGCGTCTGGTAATGATGCGGTCGGGGTAGGAACCCAGGTGTAGAGAGTGAGCAATCTGCCAGATAGGTTTTGTGTGAATCTGTGTTTCCCTGGATGCAGTCCCTGTACCCCCACCAGATCAGAGACTACAAACGGATTGAGTTCAGCGAGAAGCTCCCTAGGCCAGTCCCCAGGGTGAGGAGGTGGTGATAAAGTACCTGCAAAGGGCTTTGTGATGGCAGGGGTCATCTCCCAGCTCCTCTGAGGAGCAGACGGTTCCGGGCGCTACAGATGTCGAACTTTCTACATACTCCACATGTTTCCTTTTTTCCTTTCTTTTACTGCTGATTGATTCTTCCATTACTGTTTCTTCTAAAGGGTTTGCAAAGTGTTCCAAGTTTGCAGATTCCTGGGACGTAAGGACAAGACAACCAAATACAAGTCAGCATTTCATGCCCAGATGCCCGTCAATGCCGAGTGAGGGACACCACCCATCGATGCTCGGCTCTACCTCGGCTCCAGGGCCTGGGGCATCCCTTCCAGTTCTGCCTCACCTGTGGACTCCTTCTAGCACAGCCTGCCAGGGAAGAGCAGCCTGCCTCCTGCTCCCTGTGCAGAGTCCAAATGCTACCGACTGATGTGAAAAGCACATAGGTTTAAGAGTCACTAAGATCTGGTTTCAAATCCTGGCTAGGGGTTAACATTCTGACCTTGAGCTACTGTCTTTACCTTTCTGGCTCTCAGTTTTCTTCTCTGTTAAATGGGCATAATAATTACCTCTTCCCACTACCACAGTGTTTCCTATAAAGGATGTCCCTTACAGTGGGCAATGGGTAGACCCTGCACGCAACCATCACCCACTTCAACAGAGGAACAAGTATCCTGGAAGCCCAGCAGGTCCTGGGTACAAAGGTGACCCCTGAGTTTAGAGAGCTGCACACACACAGGCAAACATACAGTCATACAGTTTGTGGACGACATCTTCATGCTTGTGGCTGAACATGGAGCATAGCGCAACATCTCTAGCATTTTTTGATAAGGAGGATTCTTTGACCCCTGTCCCCACTGGGGATTCTGAAACCCACGGGCAATGCTCCTGAATGAAATCAAGAAGCGTGGGAATTGTTGGAGCCGCTGCTCAAGATCTCCTTCACAGGCTGGGAGAACCGGTTCACCCAGTACTGGAATAAAAGGATTAGGGTAGCCAGTCCTGTGCACCCCCGGAGAACAAAGCTCTCTGCAGAAATGAAAAATGCTCTCAGCTGTCTGAAACACCAGTCCCTCTTACATGGTCATGGGCAAATGCTACCTTTTTGAAAGGTGAAATGAGGAGAGGATTTTTTTTTCTTTTTCTTGTTGCTGTTTTTTTTTATTATTACAGTATCATTGATATACAATTTTATGAAGGTTTCACATGAGCAACATTGTGGTTACTACATTTCCCCCTATTATCAAGTCCCTCTGACATACCCCATTACAGTTACTGAAGAGAGGACTTTTTTTTTTTAAGGACTAGAAGAACTAGCCATTTTCTAGGCCTACTGAACTAGATATTTTTTTTCTTTTTAAAGGAGGGCCAGGTATTGGAGAAATACTCCCTCTGGCATCATCTTGTCTGCCAGGAATAAGACCACAGACATTACCTGGCATCCCAGACTGCACCCCTTCCTCTGCTCACCTACAGAGATCAAGGTCACAGCTATACCAGGGGGCCAGTTACCAGGTGTGCTTAGGAGCAATGGGCACCTGCTCAACTGACTGGTGAGAGCTCGCACACCGCACCCGGGAGGGCAAGCTCTCGCCAGGCTCACCCCCTCCATCAGATTCAAAGACGGATTCAAATCTAGATCTCCCGATTCCATTCCCAGCCCAGGGCTCTTTTGACCACACCACCGATCCCCTGTCCGTGTGCTGGGCACAGGCAGGGGCACAATCTGGTTTTGGCAATGACCAGAAGAAAAGCAGAAGAGGATGAAGGCCACGGCTGCTCTTCCACAGGCCACACACCTTGGGGTGGGGGGAGGAACAGAGATGCTCACTGGCCACTTTAAGTAACACAGAGGGGCAGACACAGCTAAGGCTTTCCTCCTGCCACTCACTCGGCCCCTCTTGTTTTGTCCTAAAAGAGCTTTTTGGCCCATGACAGTCCAGATAATCACCCCATTGCCATCATGATCCCCCAACCTGGGGACCCCAAGACTTGATTTCCTCAGACATAACTAAGCCCCTTGACCTTGGAGTCTCCTGCAGGAAGAGGCTGCTTTCTGATGAGTCAACAGGTGGAAAGGTGGGAGGTGGGGGGGGACCCCAAGACTTGATTTCCTGAGACATAACCAAGCCCCTTGACCTTGGGGTCTCCTGTAGGAAGAGGCTGCTTTCTGATGAGTCAACAGGAGGAAGGTGGGAGGTGGCAGGGGGCAGAAGGTGAAGGTGGTGGGTGGGTCCCAGCCCCTGTGGAGCCACTCCGCTGTCTCCATTTAAAGACAGACATAGTGTGGCGCCCCCACCCCACAGGGCCAATTGGTCCTGCTACGAGTGCCTTCTAGGCCCTCAGCCTGAGAATTCCCATCTTCCTGTGCTCCCAGCATCCATTCCCATCATTTACAGTTGGCAAACAGACACAACCAAGTTACCCCCTCTGGCCTACTTAAATCTTAAATGTCTTTAAGGAGCCAGGGAGGAGGCTGGAGGAGGGAGGGTGGCTTGGCTGGAGGGAGGAGGGAGATCGAGGGGGCTAGCAGATCAGGTCTCCCCCCAGCAGGCCCTCCCCGCTCACCCTAGTGGCCACCCTTGAGCTGCTACTAGGTCAGATAAAATGGGAACGCTGGCTAGGTAAGTGTGCCAGCTGCTTGAGCTGAGAAGTGTGTGCCCCCCTTGCCTTGTTTATACAACCTACTTCTATCTATAGGAGGAACAAATGGTGCCCAGCAGCCAAAAGGCCTAGAAAAATCGAGGCCAGAGCCAAATGGGAGCTTTTGCTTGGTTTTCCTAGGTTGCTACGGGAGGCAGGGACTCATATCACTAAGTGCACGCTAGGCATGGCTACGATGACTAATTACAATCATTACTGCTGCTATGCTGGGCCCTCAAATGTGCCCTTATCTGAGCCTCTTGGCAGGCTGTGGGCAGGGCCGGGACTAGGGGGAGGCCAGTGAAGAGACCAGGGTGCAAAATTCAAGGAGTGCTCCTCTCAGTGCCAGCCCTGCCCTTGCTCGTGCCTCCGTAAGTCGTGGGCCCGGGGCCTGTGAGGGAGGCTCCCATTTCCCTATTTCATGGAGGGAGAAGCTGAGCTTCAGAGAAGAGCAGAATCCCCCATGCAGGGCCCAGGGTCCCTGAACGCACAATCAGGTACCTGATGGTTCTCCACAGGGGCACTGTCTTCAGCTTCCCTTTGCTGGTGGTCCCCTCGCGGGGCTGGGGGAGTGGGCTCCGAGGCCGGTGTGGCCTCCTGTGCTCCCAGGTCAGGACATGGTGCCTGGCTGTAGGCCTGGGCAAGGTTGTTGCCCAGCTCTGAGTTGCTACAGCTGCTCTGGGAGGCCTTGGCCTCCTCGGCCTCCTCCTCCCAGGATCCCAGATCCTGCAGACATCCTTCTGCCTCTTCCAGATCTCTGTCTTCATTTTTTAAATTCTCCGCACCTTCTGCATAAGCCTCCAAAACGGCAGCCAGGGGAACCTCGTAATGCGGGTAGTAGAAAAGGTCGTGGGGGATGACGGAAATCCTAGAGAGGGGCGGAGAGGGCTTGAAGTCCAGACCTTCCTCGCTGTGACTCCAGCGGGTCTCCAAGCTGACACTGCTGCTTGGCGGGTTGGAAGGCAATTCTCCGGGGAACCCCTGTGGACCCTCCACGTCCACCTCTTCCTCTTGACGATGGTCCCGGGGGGACTTACACTTTGCCTTCCCACCTATTTTGGGCTCCGCACCTCCCAGCACAGCCTCTTGGTCTTTCTGCTCAGGCTCCCCGTGAGGCTCCTGCTTGTCAGGCTTCGCTGGAGGGGCCTCCTCTGAATCTGCCTTTTTGTGGGCAGATTTGCCTCTCTGTTTACCCAGGTTCTCTATGTGGTCTTCCAAAGCCTCATCCTCGGCAGGTTTTTTCTCATGAGGTGAAGGAACCTCACTGAAAGCCTGGCTGGGTGAGGCAAAATCTACCAGGTTGCTGCTAAATTTAGAGGCTTTTAGCGGTATGCCTTCAAAATAGTCTCCCTCATCCACAGCATCTGCAGTCAGCAGCTTAACCTTGATCTCTAAGGAATCAGCCATAACGGTATTGTCTCCAAGAGATGGAAGGGGATGACTTTCTTCCCCCAGATGGGTGGAACTCTTCAGCACCCTGTTCCAGGACGTAGGACTCTGGGAAGCCTGCGAATGGTCAGTCTCAGCATCTGCCGCAGAAATGTCACCTAGGGTCTCGTCAGAGGCCGCTTCTGGGATCTCTGGGGCTTCCTGGTTTGATTTTTCGTCAGCAACCTCAACTGTCAAGACTTGACCATCCTGCTCCAACAATTCCTTAGTCCCTCCTAGGCCCCCTTGAAAGCACAGGTCTTGACTGTAGAGAGGGTCCTTACTGCAGGAAGCATCCTTATAGGTATCAGTCTCAAAATGCACAGTTTTCTTGATTGGTAAAAAGCTGGACCTCCGGTTGTCCTTTCTGGATAATAAAATGGAGGATTCTGGAGACGACTCACTGATGCTGCTGATACTCCCTGGGACCCCTTGGAGGACCTGGTCTGTGATCTGATGCCTCATCTCCGTGGAGCTGTCTGACAGCGCATGGCTGCAAACGCCTTCCAGGCAGCATGCCTTCATGCTCTCAGGCTTGTCACAGACAAAGACTTTGGAGGGTGGTGGGTGGCTGGCGTCATGGTTAAAGGTGTAGGCACGCTCTCCATTTTCCGTTAGAAGGAAGACTGTGCTCTCCTGTTCAGAAGGCGTTTCTTTGATGCGGACAAAGGTGGATTCAATAGGAACTTCTTTATCTGAATTCATAAGATCCTCCTGCAGAGAAACACAGGGAAACATGAAATCAGAGGAACATTCAAGTCCAATGCATATTCCCCTTTCAATAAACAAAAACCAAAGCAGAAAAGTCACTTCAGAACTAATGCAAAGTGTTCTGATTCAAATGTAGGTGGTTGCAAAGGACTACTGTTCCTGCGGAAATGTGAAAACACCGGATAAACCAAAACCGTATTTTTTAAAGCTATGGATGCAACAAAATCTCAATGAATGGAATTTTGGAGAAAGACGGGCCCTTCTGAACTGGGCAGAGATGTCAGCCACTTCATACCTTTGGGCAACTACCTACTCTGGGTGTGGACAGGAGAGCTAGCCCACCTGAGATATGTATATATCCGTGAAATCTTTATGGATTGTGTAGGCTGGTGTGAGAGATTGAATCCAGAAGGGTCCCAAATGCAAAAGCAAGTCTCCTCATATGCTAATTCTCCCACACAGGGACTTTTGCTAAGTAAGAGGCAGCTGAGAGTGAAGCTTCAAAGTGGAGCATAATCTTGGAGGTTCATGTGTCCCTTGCTTTCCAAAGGTTTGCATTAGGCCACATTCCTTTAACAAAAGCCCTACATTAGTATGGTAATTTTTTTTTTTAATAAAAGCAAAAAATCCTCTTTTTTTCTTTTGGTTAGAGAAAACAGGTACTAATGTAGATCTTCCATAAAAGTGAAGTGGCATAACATGAACTTTTGGAAAGCAGGAGAAACCCATACCTTTATACCATTTTGGCTTATGAAAGGCATCAAAGGAACGCTTTACTTTCAGATAGTGGGGGAAACCTGTATTGCAGTGCTTGGCTCCCAGTGCACTGGTGGGAAGAGTAGACTAACTTCATCCTAAAATCATTGGAAACCAGAAAGCTGATGTTAAATAAAACTGCAACATAGCCTTTATCAAGTCCTGAGAAGGTTGAAATGATTAGCTTCTCATTTCAGGTCCTTGTTTGTTAAAGAATTACATTGTCTGCTGGGGAGGGGATGTCATTTACCTCAATCTCTACTGTTCCTTTATACACCAGTTCTGCCATTAATTTAAAATATTTAAGGCACATAGAAGCAGGAGAATGAGACCCATAATAAAGAGAAACAACAGTCATTAGAAGTAGGTCCAAATATGCCCCAGGGTGAGAACTAGCAAATAAAGATTCTAAAATAACTATTAATCTGTACTACAGGGAATGCTAAGGTAGTTCTTTGAGCTGATGAGAAATGATCACAGCTAAAGTCCTGAATCTGAAGGAGGGGCTGCAAAGTATCTGCAATGGTAAATATATGGTCAATATAAAATACTTTTAAAAAAAGTTTTCTTAGAAAGTTTCCTGGCTGTTTAAAGCAAAAATAATAACAAAGCATTGGGGATTAAAACATATGTAGAAGTAAAGTAAAAAAAAAATAAGAGCACAAAGGAATGGAGAAGAGGTGAGTGGAGTTAGATTGTTACCTATATAAAAATATATAAAATATGCATTTTACTTGAAATGATAGAGTAGTAACTCAAGGTAGAGTGAAGTTTGTTCAAAATTAGTATTATAATCCCTAGAAAAACTACTAAAAAGTCAAAATAAGGAGATGTGGCTAAACAGCCAATAAAAGAGATGAAATGGAAACCCCAAAAAATAATTGAATAATCTAAAAAAGTTAGGAAGGATTATGGCATACAGAACAGATAAGACCAATGGAAAATAATAATCAAGTTGGTAGATTTAATCTATGTAAGTGGTTGAAAATACATTAATGACACACTAATTCTTGTCAGAATGGATTAAAAAACAAGACCCAACGGTATACTGTTTACCAGAGATGCATTTTAAATGTAAGCATAATACGCCGAAAGGAAAAAGCTATGTCACACAAACACTAATGATTAAGAAAGCTGATATGGCTATATTCCTATCAAAGTACACTTCAAGACAAAGAGAGATACTGAATGAAAATAAAATGAGCAAGTCACCAGGAAGACATGACAATCCTTAATGTGTATGCATTTAAAGCATTGCTTCCACATACATAAAGCAAAAACTGACAATACTAAGGAAAGAATTTCACAGTCAGATGTTGGAGATTTTTTAACACTTCTCTTTCACATTCATTGATAGGAAAAGCAGGAAAAAAAATTGTATGTCTATAGAATAATTAGAGCAGCATATTAACTAACTCGACCTAATTAACATTTAAATACTGTCACTTCTTTCCCCACATAAGACACTTCATTTCAAGTGCAAATGGTACAATTACCCAAATGAACCATGTTGGGCCATAAAGCTAGGCACAGAGTTTGGTACATGGTTGGCCAGGGCTTAAAGAATATTTACTGAAATGAACTAAACTCAGCTGACTTGTTAAGGAACAGTTCAGAGGGTGTCCGGACTAGCTGAGGACTTCCCATCTGCATTCCTCCGGGCATGAAAGTGGCTGTCCCTCAGTGATGCACTGTGTTCTGTCAATCAGGATGATTTTCTCCAGGTATCCTACCTTGTTCAAGTCTAGGTATCCTACCTCTCTCCAGCCCATCTCTGGCCCCAGTACTGAGGAGATCCAAGCGATATATTTGCTGAATCCTGGCTGTGACCTCAAATCACACAAATACTTTACATTTTAGTTGAAGTCAAACTCTGCCTACAGAGTAAGACCTCAGGGCTAGGAAAAGCCCTGGTGCCCCATGTTTCAGAATTTAACAATGGGCTATTAAATGGAATAACAAAATAATAACAATCACTACCATTTGCTGAGCATCCAGACAAAGGACTAGGTACATTACAGATCCATCTATTCTTCACACAACTCTGAAATGGGGGTAATATTTCCATTTCATGGACATCTTATACAGACATCTTATACAGACATATATCAGAGAGGTTAAGTGAGCAGCTAGAGGTCACACAGCTTCAAGTGGCACAACATTCCAACCCATGTGATTCCTGTTTCTAAAGCACCCTGGGAATTGATCTGTACAGGGACAGATGGGAAACACACACACAGGAAGGGACTGGAATGAAATCCACAGCACAGCCACCCAGTCTGGCTCTTCTGAGATCTACAAAATGGGGTCTCAGTATTAGCCATACGTCATGAGGGATCTAAGAGACTGGACTGTGGAACCATAGAGACTTGGGGTCAAACTACAGAGATCTGGGGTCAACCCCCAGCTCTGTACTTGGGAGCTGTGTGACACTGGAGAGGACTTTAAGCCTCTTTGCACACTTGTATTCTCATCCATGATATGAGAATAATGATACCGAGCCACACTGGACTGTAGGAAAGGCAATCAGCCCAGAGAAACACAGGACAGTTACCTGACCCACCTCCAGCTAAGAGCACAGCCTTATTAGCTTGTGAGCATTGGCCGTTTATGCTTACTTTTTCCTGTCTAGTACTTATAGCTACCTGAAACTTATGATGTGTTTGCTGGCATGTTCACTGTTTTCTGTATTAGAACAAAGCTACACAAAGTCAGGACCCATCTCCATTATTGCTGAATCCCCCTGAACCAGCAGTAGGTGTTCATCAAATTTCCAACAAATTCAATAAAGGGCTGTTATTATGCTTGTTGCCTTTACTACTACCATCTCAGGGCTGTGCATGGGTTGGGGTGAGGTTCAACAGGGCCATGACAACTTCTCAAAGGTCTGATCCGGCTCCAAAAAATCTGGGAGTACAGTCTGGGGTTCTGGAAATAACAAAGCATGCATTTGAACAGTCTTTGTCCTTTATAGTTTTTCAGACTCTGGTAAACCTGATGAGACAGCTAAACTGTTCCATCTGACATCTAAAAAACCAAGTAGCTGATCCATATTATAAATGAGCATGTTTTATAATCTTAATAAAGTGTGGCATGGGAAGAGGTTTGTGAGAGGTGTATCTGTCTATCTGTCCTGCTTGTAAACATACTACATGTTATATATGATTTTGAAATTAAAATGTGGCAAGGCAACTCTCGAGGGACTTGAGATCAAGTCTTGATTATTGATGCTTATCACAGGGAACATCGCCCAAACCCCAGTTTTGTCTGACGGCCAGTGGATGGAAATGTAGAGTATCTGAACTGAAGGTAAGAAAAACAAACATACGGCTTCCAACTCCGGGAAATGTTCTAGAAACTGTGCCACGTAAGTCACAATGGACTGCTCGTCCGGGGTGTCAACCATGATGTCTGTTAGGAGAGACACAGGAGTTAGGACACAGGGACGCAAGATTTTTAAATAAGTTCATAGGATGCTTGGTGGTGAAGAATCCCACAGACCAATGAGGGTTTTACTCCTTATTTTACCCTTGAGGGAATTGAGGACCAGAGAAGATGAATGACTGGACTAAATCCTCACAGCTGGCTGATGAACAGAGGCGCTGGGATGTGTGCCCCAGCCTTGTTCCCAAGGGTATCTGTTATCCTGGGCTCTCTCAGGCCCTCTGCTCTGAGCAGCCAACTCAGGGCCAGCTCCATCAGCAAGTCTGGTGAACTCATACCCTTACTCACTGCTGGAGACAGTCCCAAATTAGCCTAGCCCTTGCGGAAAGCGATTTGACAGACAGAGCTTAGCACCTTTTAAAGTACTTTCCAACTCTGTCATTCTGCTGATGAGATCTAGTCCCGAAGGAAATAATTTGGAGTGCACACCGAGATCTATTCAGTAAGATATTCACTGCAGCATTATATATATATAAATGTGATTATTTCTGAAACAACCTCAATATCCACCACTGGTAGAAAAGTTAAGGTAATTGTTGTATGCCCAGCAATGGACCATTATGCAGCCAATAAAGGTATAGGACAAGGACATTATAGAAACATGCAAATACTTATGGCATAATTATAATGTTAAGGAAGAAAAAGTATGGCACAAAACTATACATATACTGAATGATTCCAATTCTGTAAAAATATTAGATACGTAGAAAAATACCGGGAGATAAAAAATGTCTTCATTAGATTTTTCTGTGTTTTCCAGATTTTCTACATGGACAGCATGTGTTACATATGCAATACAAATTATTAAAAAGAGAGAAAGAGAAAGAGAAAGAGAGAGAATCACTGCTACCTTCTGGCTCCAGGAGCCTGGGAATGTGAAGGGCATCATGTGCAATTCTGAAAGCCTTTTCTAGATTTTCCTGCATGGAGTCTTCCAGGGCCTGCTTCATGTCGACCAGGCTGGGGTCAATGGCCTTGATTACAGCCAGGAAAGCCATCCCACTTCTCCAGCTGCCCGCAAAGTCCTGCACAGCCACGCCATACCTGGAGAGACCATGCCACAGTGGTGGCCACAGTGCAGGTTAATTACAGACACAGTGATTAGGAGGTCAGTGGAGCAGCCTCGCTGGCCTCTGAATGGGGTCAGGAATGCTGACCTTGCAAGGCAGACATGCTGAACCCTGCCTGGCACAGCTGCCCTGAACCATTCCCATTTCCATTTCCAAACAGAATAGAAACGTGTATGTCACACACAGAGGCAAAAGACGACCTTGAGTTTCCAAGTCCACAGATGAGGAATGATTCCATACACTGCTTGTTTCACCAGTGATATTCAAAACATAGCAAGCAAGGATGCGTCATGCAATAAAAATGAACCCCGCAAGACCCAGGTTCACCCACTCTGTGCTTCCAGTGCGACGGCCTTGGACAAAATCACATATTCTCTCTGAGCCTCAAACTCCTAGGTTATAAAATGGGGATCATCTCACTGTGACCTCTTGGCAGCTGTTGTGGGGAAGTATCAGTTTAAACCCACAAAAACAGCCATGGAATATGGTCACCCTTTGCAATGTAGGGAGCTCACAGAAGCCACAGGCTCAGTGGCAGCTAGTATCATTACTAATATAAATAAAATTTTAAATTTTAAAGTGAGGGACAAAGATAGATAATCCTGCCAGGCACTAATTTCCTTTAGAAGCCTTCTTTTAGAATCCATCCCACTGATTTCCCAACTGTGGCCACTGAACTCTCTTAAAAAAGCATCTTTTTATTTAGAAATCATTTAAGATTCCTAAGAAGCTGCAAAAGCAGAGCAAAGAGCCCCTGTATGATGCGCACCCAGCCTCCCTCAAAGATGGCACCTTATGTTACCACAGCATATTAACAAAACCAGGACGCCGACATTGGTACGCGACGGTTAATTAGCTACAGACCGTATTTGATTTCCCGTTTCATTCTCAGGGGTGCAGAGTATAGCACCATGAGATGTTAGCATGGTGCAGATTCCTATCACCACGGCCACAATGGAGACATAACAGCACCACCACCCTGAAGACAATACCCCGCCCTGACAGTCACCCTGCCTCCGGCAATGGGCCCTCTTTCAGTTGATTCATTTTTAAACGACATTTAATGATTGGTCACATTTATCAACACAATCATATTTGACCCCTACTTGGAACTCCAAAGATCTAACTTCTCTTCTATTTTATTTTTTCTTCCACACATGGGGAGGAGGGATCTGATGTCTGTTAAGTGCTTGTTAAGTGCTGGCACTGTGCAAGCCACTTCCCTGGAGTGATTCCATTTAACCCTAAGTATCCCATAAGGCAGAGGGTAAGTTACCATCCTGTACCTGGGGCTTGGGGAGGTGACTCACCAGGACCTCCCCAATGTGTGCTTGGCACAGCTGGGGTAGCCCTGAGTTGGTGGGCCTTTCTGCACACATGACCTAGCTTTCTACCATCCCTGCCCATGGCCCATAGGCCCAGTGGCTGTCAGCCAGTGACCAGTGAAGACCTGATACAAACCCACTGAAAGCCCTCATCTGCAGGCACAGGGCCAAACAGGAGGCTGGAAACTTTGTTCCAGTTCACCTGTCTTGGTTTTGGAAAGGCCAGACCCAACTCTGAATATGTATAGCTTTTATTGCCATTAGTCTTCAAGTAGGCACAGACTCTGACAGACACCCTGAAGCTTAAAATAAATATGTGTATGTTATTAGGATCTAAGAGACATCTCCACTTTGGGATTTACTACAGTGAAAGCCCCTTTGATTTATACTCAAAGCCTCTTGTCAGTTTTTGGCAAACCAAACATTCTATGATGCAATTTGGTATGTGCAGAAACTGAAAAATGTACCACATTCCCTGTTCTGAAAGTCTACATAAAGCAACAGGCATATAACTCAATAAATGCAAATGGCCCTTCCCTCTGCCCACCCCAGGGAAGGTCCCTTGGCCGGACGGCAGTGTGGGGTGGTGGGGTACAGGGCGCTGTGCCTTACTTCCTCGTCTTCCTCTGCACCCACGCCAACAGGGTCCTGATGGCCTTCCTTTGGTCTTTCACTGATATGGCCACGCTCCTCTCTGCAGTGAGCGTGGGTGGGAAGGAAGTGTCTGAGTCTGTGCCCGCCGAGCCAGGTGACAGGCTGGAAGGTGGAGAGTTTCTGCTGAGGTTGCCCGTGAGCTCCTTAATCTGAAAGGAAAACATCATGTCGGACCAGCAGAGACAGACCCAGTGTGGGCCCTTGTCTGACCCGAGGCCACACGGACCCCGGTTGAAGGGGCTGCTCAAGCAGAACCAGCACTGCAGATAGGAGAAACCCCTTCTTGATGGTGTGTGTCAGGGGACAGGGCAGTACCCACACTGGTCTGGCCATTTCCTGTGGCTTGTAGTGTGTGCAGAGGCACTTCACAGGGAAGATCACCCCTTCCTGGAATCTCTAGCTCTGGCCAGACCCTGCACACACTCTGCTCTACACATTTCTTCTCATGGCCAACCACTCCCAGAATGCATCATGCTACTTTAAGCCCCACTGCCTATGCTCATCCTGGTTATGCCTGGATGTCCCTTCCCTCCATCACTGAATTTCTGGTTACTCAAAATGTGGCTCCTACCTTATGGCACTTGTGAGAAATGCAGAACCTCAGGAATCAAAATCTGAGTTTCAACAGCACCCCCAGGAGACTCAGATGCACAGTGAAGTCTGAGAAGCACTGGTCTAGTGCACTCCTACTCAACCTTCAAAACCCTGCTCTGGTGTCACTTCCTCCAGGAAGGTTTCCTCATTCCTTTACCACTCTGAGGCGGCTGTTCCTGTCTGGCATTCTTAAAACACTCTGCTCATACCTTGACCATGACTCTCACCACAGAGTTCTGTAACATGGGACTGGCTTGTCTGTGATCCCAGAGAGTCGCTAGGGCAGGACTTTGTATGTCCAGAGCAGGACACATAGGAGAAACTCAAGAGACATTTACTAAATGAATGCGTGAAGAACTGTGCTGGATATAAGACCTTGACTTTTTAACATGTCTTTAGGATGTTTCCAGCATCTATCAAGAGAGTTTAATAATGAGCATCAGTAACTGAGGCCTGTATATAACCCTGTACCACTGACAAAAGGCTTTCCCACATAGCATCTCTTGGAGTTCACCACATAGTGTGACCACTGCTCCCATTTTGCAGAAGTGCAAACTGAGACTCAGAGAGACAGAGCCTCTGGTTTCAGTTCAAAGCTCACATAGAACTGGAGCTGTTATCTCCACACCTTGTTTGTGCTCGTTCTTCTCTGAAACACCAGTATTGAGCAGAAAGCCCCAGCAAATCACCTCTGTGCAGATCATTTTTACCCTCGGGAGGGCAATTAAACAATGAGCCCTGATTTTCTATTTCAAAAGAGGGGAATTTTAGAAGTTGAAAGGTCAGCTTACTGCTCCCTCTTCATGGGAAAGGGCTTGAGTACAATTTTAAATGCTGCCTTCGTATCCCAGCCACAGATCCTGTCCTTCCTTTATAAAAATCTGCCTTTGCAACTAGAGGCTGGATTTGTTAAGGATGGAAAAACAAGGCCTCGCCTGCCACACATGCCTCTTCCGAGAGTTTTCCAGACAGGCTCTTTAACTGTCTCTGCTGAACAGGAGTCATTTTGTTCACTGAACTCTACCAAGTTCAATTTTTGGTCACAAATATTTCGCCAGTTCTTGTGACACTTTAGAAAAAAAATCACTTCTTGAAGTAAGCAGTTAACTCGTCCCAAGAGGACAGACATACCCTTCTGGAGAAGAACTCACACCACTTTTAACATCACAGGGACTCAAAATCTTGAGCAATCAGATTCCTCTGGTTCTTTTTCGGGAAAAAGAAATGTCAAAATCTGTCAGAAGCTAAATCTCCCTGTGTCTCTTGACCTGGCCCCACTCTGTTTTGTTGGCACTAAGCAGACACAAGGAGATCATTTCCAAGTATAATGGAAAGGAAATTATTTTACCTGGAAGAAGAGGATTATGTTCCATATCAGCCCCAGAACCAGGGAGGGGTTGCCATCTGCGATTTCGGCTGCATCGATGCTAACAAGTTTTACCTGAAGAGAAGCAATTTATGAGCTTAACACAGGGTGTCCAAGAAGGCTGAAACCTGTTATTTTTCTGATGCATTCATGAGCCTGTTTTTTCTCACCTGTACCATTCAGCACAGCCCAAGGACCCCCCCACCCCAACCCCGAGTGCAAAAGTGTATGGAAATGTGTTTAATAAACACGTATGTGGTACTTACCATGTGCAGACACTATTCTAAGCTCTATGTAAGTATTAACTCAGTTTGTCCTCACAAACAACCCCACAATGCTGGTACTTACAATATCCCTACATCATAGGTGAGGAAATTTCAGAGAGGTCAGTGTAACGTGACCAGGACATACAGCTAGTAAGGTGTCAGCCATTCTTTGCAAGGAGAGATGGTAAGTGCTCACTATGCCTGTCTGCATGCTACACGACCACCACCCGACCACCAGATTTAATGCACCTTTGGACACAGACCACTGACGTTAGCAATCATGGACCATGAATAGGAAAGATAATTATCCAATGCTAACTAGAAATAGGGTGTTGGGATAAGGCTTAAAACCAGAGTTTCTGTATCATTACAAAATATCCTACAGATTGGTTAAAATGTGCCTATTGTAGAAACCTTTGGGAGATTCCCTATTTATTTAACTATGTTCTGACCACAGGATGATGCTCTTGGTGAATCTCTAAGGCACTGGTTCTCAAAGTGGTTCCTTGGACCAGCAGCAACACACAGTAGGAATTTGTGAGAAATGCCCATCTCCCCTAGACCTATGGGACCAGGAAGTCTGAGAGAGGAGCCTTGGCAGCTGGGATGTGGACAGGAGAACCAGGCTTGGCAGCTCAGGCTTTTGAATGGGAACGTGTGACACTGAGAGCTCATTCCAGGGGCTGTGGCAGAGAGGCAGTGCTGTCCTTCCCCCAGAGGCGGGGCCTGTGCCGTGATGGCCATACCCACACGGGTCCTTGAGTGGGGGGTGGCATCTCTGCAGCGGTCCTGGTTCCCAACATCCCTGGGGACCATCCCTGCTTCCCCAGTCTTTCAAGCCATTCTGTGTGCTACCCGGCATCCTCTCAACAAATTCCTTTTCTGTTTGAATCATCCACCGTCTCCTATTGCTCGCCATTAAGAACCCATAGTGAATCGTACTCGAGGAAATTTTACTGTACATGCAGCCTGAGGGGTCTTTACCCAGACGCACTGATGAAACATCACGAAGGGGGAGTCTTGGAAATGTCAGCCCTCTAGGGCTGTCCCTTCCCATCTTTGACGGGCATGAAGCAGAGTTCAAAACACTGAAAAAGCTAATTTAAGTCCAGAAAGTTACATCCGATGGGAGGATTTTGTAATTTTTCCCTGGCTCATTTAATTTCCCTTTCCCCCCCATCCTCTGGGAGAAATATTCTCCCGTATTCTGGGTTCTCAGAGGAAGGGTTCCACTCTGACGTGTTCACTGTAATTTTATTCACAGGAATGAAAAAGAAAATGTCAACTGAATTCTACCGCCCTGGGAGCCAGCCTGCTGCCCCTCCCTTCCTACAACTGGACGACCATCTTGAGTTTCCATCCTGATGGGTCCAGCGGGGTGGGCAGGGTGTCAGGGGCTAGCTCTCCAACGGATGGATTAGCTCAGTGAGTTCTGTTAAATTTAAACTTAGTTTGACCATTTTAGCAGAGTCCCCTTTTCCTGCTGCTTCTGTCAGCAGCACTGAACTCCCAATCACATTCTTTCGGTCCCAGGAAGGGCTCATGTTAACAAGGTGCATTTCAGATACTTACACTGCTATCTTCCAAAAACTTCAGTGCTTTGGCTATGTTGTTCAACTGAAAAATACGATGGGATGAGGATTTGTATTCATGCAGCTGTAACACAAAACAGAACAGGACATGGAGTCCGACCGGCAGGCGCTCAGTGCCCGGTGGTGCTCGTGGGCATGCTTTGCTTTTTCTTTACTTTGTATTAACCTCAGGAGAAAATTAGGGGCTCACAGCTGAAACCCATCCCTTATTTATGGTTCCTGGGACTTAACTCACTCAAGCTGGTGAGCAGGGGGGACTCCAGAAGGGTTAAACAAGGGACAGATTTGTCAAATTTTTCTCTCTGACCCTGATCCGGGCTTTTGATGCTTCTCCCTCCTCCCGAGACCTTCATGACTTGCTCTGCTCGCTGAGCTGATGGTTTTTGTCAGGGCAGGGAGCACTGGAGGGGAGCGTCACCACACAGCTGCTAAATCATCCTCAAGTCCCTCCCTGGCGGCAGCAGATGTTTCTGTTTTCTGGGCAAGAGCTTTGCGGACAGTGAGCCCAGGTCAGATAGATAGAGGGGGTGGGGGTGGGACAGGAATGGGGGAAGAGAGAGGGAGGGAGGCAGAGAGACAACAGGCAGAGACAGAGAAGAGAGGAGAGACAGAGAAGGAAATACAGACAGAAAGACAGAGATGGAGAGAGATAGACACACACAGAGAGAGGGAGGGAGGGGGCTGCTTGCAGAAGCTAACAGTCCACCAGTGTCAGTAATACATCTGGAAGGGCCATGGAGGAAACTCATCCTGAATTGAAGCTCAGGGATGCCCCTCAAGGTGGGTGGTTCACATTACAAGGCAAACCAGTAGGTGTCACACCAGGTGGGAACTACCAGGCCCAGCTCATGGGTAAGTGGACGCTCCACTCTTGGCTGGTCTTAGAAAACCTTGTAGGAAACCAAATACTATTTTCACTGCTGTGGGTTGATCCTTCATTAGACTTCACTGTGTAACCAGGCAGCCCCCTGGGAGTGTGGTTTACGGGCAGCTTCCATGTTGCAAAGGCGGAAAGGGTTAAGGAATGTGGTAAGATTCCAGATACATTAGATCTGAGAATACAAGAACGGGCTCTTGACTTTAAATCTATGATAAAAACGGATCTGGAGAGGTCGGCATGGACTGAGCTGTGGGCTGGTAGCTCTGTCCATTGATGTACCTTTGTATTAGCACGGTGGGTCACTGAGGCCATTCAAACACTTGACCTAGAGCTGGGTTTCTCAATATCACCACTACTGGCATTTTGGCTGGTTCACTGTGCCCCTCAAGGGACACTCAGCAGGGTCGGGGACATTTTTGATTGTCACACCCAGGAGTGCTACTGGCATCCTTGGGTAGAGACCAAGGATGCTTTACATACCTTGCAACACCCAGGATGGCTCTCCAAGACTAAGAGCTATCCAACCCCAAATATCAGGAGTGTTGAGGCTGAGGAACCCTGCTCCATGACAGAGAGGGAGGCCTGACCTGTGCAGAGACATATGCCACGCACAGAGGTTTGGCGACGATCCAAGTGGAGAGAACCTCAAGAGCAGAGAACCTCAATTCCCTCACTCGGCAGCTCCCCTTATCCATGGTTTGGCTTTGCACAGCCTTCAGCTACCCGTGGTCAACTGTGGTCTGGAGCAGATGATCCTCCTTTTGACATACGGTCAGAAGGTCCACAGTGGCCTAATGCTGCGTCATAAAGCCTACGCCATTCCCTCTCTCGCTCGCAGCACACAGTGAGCAATTCATCGTCTCACATCTCCACAAGAAGGGTGAGGACAATGCAAGAGAGACCACAACCACTTAATTTTTATTACAGTACATTGTTAAAACTGTTCTATTTTATTCTTAATTATTGTTAACCTCTTACTGTGCCTAATTTATAAATTAAGCTTTATCATAGTATGTGTGTATAGGAAAAAACATAGGATATATAGGGTTTGGTACTCTCTACAGTTTCAGGCATCCTCTGGGGGTCCTGCAGCATATCCTCCACAGATAAGGGGGGACTACTCTACTTACAGGAAGGTTCTAGAAGCCAGAAGTTCTAGTTAGCCGTGTGGATAATAAAATTTGGTTGGTAAGATGCCCTTCTCCTCAGTCTTCCTGATTCTCAGCCATTATTCTAGTTAATATAATGCTTGGCTAACTAAAGTTTAACCGTATAGCTCTAAATCTCATTTAGAACTCTGTTTACCTTGAAGAGACTCACGGAAAATACTGGGCATTTGTTTATTTATTTACTAAAGTAGGTTTGCGAAAAAGAAGAGATACTGCTTAGTTACATATGATTATATCACTCTCAGTCACTGAGAAAGGAATGTCACCTTTCCAAGTCTCTTGTCATAGAATTTACACATGGCCAGGGATGTGTACAAACATATAGGTCTGGCCTGAAAAGAAACCTCTGGCAGCGTTTTCATTTGTGTTTTATTTCTTCCTCACCCTACTGTGACATACGTACCAGATTTCGCCCAGACAGGACTTCTAACAAAGCCATTAGGATTTTGCCATCTTGTATATCAATGAACAAATCTTTGACTTCTAGAGGCGGGTCGCACTAGGGAGGGGGGGAAAGAAAGCAGCCGGTTAGTGGCCCGTGTGATCTACAACCCTCTCAGAGCTGCTGCTTTCACTCAAGAGACTTCCGGTCACCCAGCTCCACACAGGAAGCAAGGCTGGTCCGAGGAGGTGACATCCAGGCAGTGGGTGTGTTGGACAGCTGGGGAGATGCAGTATCTGGGCCCTGACCCAACAAGGGACCCTTGGTCCTTCTAACTTGAGATCTCAGACCCCCGAAGTACATTATACTCACATTTCTCCTTAAGGGCAATACGAAATGGCATGTCCTCCCTATAGCCTTCCACTGAATTAAATAATTCTAGTAGGGCTCACATGAGCTTACCTAGTACAAGCCCTTCCCTTCAGATTTGGGGAAACTGAGGCTCACAGAGGCTGGGAGATGTGCTGTGCTTAGTTAAGTCAGCTCCTTGGCACAGTCCTGTTCCTTCATTAGGACACGGATGCAGCCCAGACCCACACCTTGGTGGCATGGCCCTGGCCAGTGGCCCCCTGGGCCTCAGGCCCGGTGTCGGCAGGGCCTGTCCAGTACTGCTCAGTTTCCACACGTGCTCCTTCCCATGGGGCTAGTTGTCACTTTATCAATATTTAGTTTGACTCCAGAGGTGCTGGGATCCTTGGCAGAGGAAGCCAGGAAGACGGCTGGTGTGTGAGCCTCGGCTGGGAGGGACTGGAGAGCGGACGGACACACAGCCAGCCTGCTGAACAGCTGGTAGGTTTGGTGAGAGGAAGAGAATCTTTTCTTCTACCCTGTGTTTGTAGGTTTGTTAGGAATTCAAAAGTTGAGAGGCTGACTTGTATGTATATGTTCATGAATATTTATATGTTTAGCTACAAAAGTAACAGATGCTCATTATAACAAATCAAACTAATTAAAACTGTATAAAAAAGTTAATCAGCTGAATGCCACTCCCTCTATTCCTCCGTGAAATCCAGGCTTCTTGAGATAAACCAACGTTATGTGAAGGTGACATTTTACCTGTTTCACTATGAAGCAAGGGTGTTAAAGACACACCTGAGTTCAACCCGAGGCTCAGCCCCCAACAGGGACTTAGCCATGGGTATTTTCCTTAACCTCCCTAGGTAGGTATCCTTACCTGCAAGGTCTCGGAGGAGGGAGGCTGATGAAGTGAGATTGTGCAGGTAAAGCACGTGGCACTACCCGTCTTCCCAGATTAATACCGTCAGGAACACCAGCTCACCATCAAGGGGCTTCCCTCCTGTCCCCTTTAGTAAGGCATTCATTCAGGGGGGAATGCCTCACACCCATAAGTGATGAGAGGGACACATGCTTAGCTGGTACCCCTCCTCCAGCAGTCATCCTTTCTCCACCCCACCTGCTTCTCTTTCTGGGTTCCCTGGGTCAGTAAATGGCACCCTCAACCTCAGGTCACCCAGAACCATCCCTGTCTCTGGGGGAAAAGCCTATTGTCCAGTCTGGAGTGTGGATGGGACCTGGATGGGAAAAACCAGATGCCCCCTGGTTTCCTATCTGGGCCTAGACCTGGAGGAGCCCACTGTCTAGGTGAACGGACACTGTGCTGTGTCTGCCAGGAGTCTGGCTGGATGTGCCCTGGAGTTCCAGGGCTGGTTGAAACATGGTTAGATGCTCCAGCACATGGATTTGCAAACTGCATTTCCTGGAACCCTACGCTTCAGTAGAGCAGCTTCGGCATGTCCTATGGGGACCAAGGTATGTGGAAAAGGACACTGATGCGCTGTGTCCACTACATCAGAGAGGCCTACTGGCCTTTCTTTAGGGTTCCAGGTAAGACTTTGCTAAAAGAAGGTTTCTGTTGACTAGAAGAGCCTGATAGCTCCTTTCATGCAGTATGGTTAGGACTCACTGCAAGAGTCTCTGGGAACAAGGCCCAGAAACATGCCTTTTTAATCAGCTCCCACCCAGCATGAATTCGGTTTAGCTTTGGTATCGGGGCCTTTGGACACATTAGAATAGTTAGGTGGGTACTGTCTCTCCTTAGAATAGACTGTCTCTCTGCTCCTGGGTACAATGAAAGGGGGTGTTCATATTTGGGGGCTGGGGGTGGCAGCTGTGACCACCAGGGACTTCAGGGTAAGGAAAGTCCTGGCAACATGGAGTTGTGGTCTAGGGACTCTTTTCTCCGGGAAGGCCTCCTTTCCACGATAGCTTGGAGGGCCATGTTTTCTTTCTTCATTAAGGAAGGTGGCATTTCCTTACTCCTTATACAAGCCCCCAGGCCCCCTACTTAGTCAAAATACAGGGCGATTCCTCCCACAGGTGCACAGAAAAGGGCTTTGCTTCAAGGGCAGCAGAAACTTTGAACCACAGGCAATTATTTTCTTTGCCAACTCCCGCAGCTCCTTGGGCATTCCACACTGCGCATGACGGCATCAGGTTACTCAGAGTCTTACGGAAATGTTATTCCTGTTAATGTGAGGCAGAAAACGTGAGACCCGAACAAAACAGCCCCTGATGGATGGACTAACAAAATTTCCAGTTACCAACCCTGACCGTGGCCAAGCCTTGCTTTTGAGTCGAACCTGAAGAATAATTTCCATTGACAGTGTCTGTGAGAGCCTCAGCAGCAGCAAACAGGGCCTTGGCTGGGGTCCATCCCGCATGAGGGCAGGAGGAGAAAATGAAACCGCTCCAGTGAAAACACTCCTCAGCCCCAAATGTTCCGTGGGCTTCATGAGATTGGTATGGCCAAGTAAACAGCACCCCCAGGGCTTTCTTCATGATCTAACTCCTTCAGTAAATTAAGGAATTTTTCCAGAAGCCAGAGACTCAGTAAATATTTCTGACAGCCTTCAAATTTCAGTTAAGCTCAACTCCCCAAGGAGTCCCCGGTTTCCTTTACATGAAAGGTTGTTCTTGAAAGTCTCAAGGTTGGAAACATGGCTGTTAATTTTGCCCTGTTTATTAGGCATCAGGTTCAGGTGCTGTCTGATTTATCTTCAGTGTGGGTGCTGCCCACCTGCCCCGAAAAAGGGACAGGAGCATGGCCGAGGGGAAAATCCGTGACATGACAAATGCCAACAGGCTCATCCGGGGTGGTGAGTGAGCGCCTGGGTATTTGCTACATTACCCTCTTGACTTTTCTATATTTATTTTTTTTTTAAAAGAAAGAAAGAAATATGCCATCGTGATATTCTATCCACCAGGAGGAATTTTCCAGCTACCCTGACACATATCAGGCATTAATTTAGGAGTTCAATCAACTTTGGTTTAGGGAATGGTTTTCCTTTTTTCCAAAAATAACACTTGGCTTTATGAGAACTGCCGAAAATGCACCAATAGTCAAAGCAACCGGCAAATGATTTAGAATGCTTCATCTGTGATACAAAGTCTTTCACCTGGAGAGTTCAGGAACCTCCAGGGTCAAGTGTAACCCATTCTCCAGGAGGGGAAAAGAGGTGTGGGTGTTCAAATGCTGCCTGGCAAAGATTATAGGCCTAAAGGTAAATTATGTGAATTAGAATTTCGGTCAAGAACTCCATTTCCTAAAAACCACATTTATTTTCTCTGCTTTCTAACCATTTCAATGATTTCCTCTAGGAACCTTTCTTCTGGGTTAATGCTAAGGACAGTCAATAGTTACCCTTGTGGTTTTTAAGAGGAGAGGAGAGAAGAAAATACACATACCTAATCTCACTAAAGCGGGCTACTAGAATACGACCAAGTTTCAAAAAGAAATGAGATGATTGAATGGATCTGTTTGGACAAGCAGATAATGGAATCAAGAAGAAAGAAATGAAGTGAGTAAAATGAATTGGGATAGATCTGACGCTTACAAAGAGGAAAATAATCTCTCCTCTCTCAGCCCCAGGGCAATTTGGGCTAACCTCCTATGTAAGGAGGGCTCGGATTTCTGCTCTGAGTCAGCCAAGTGCCCCCCCCTCTGCTACTCATCCTTGCGCCTGCCCCTCGGAGGACCTGGGTCAGCTGCTTTTCTTTTATGGTATGTGTGTGCAAGAAGCTTGCAGACAAGATGCAGTTCAGAATTGCCTGGCCAGAGAATGTTCGAGAGAAAGAAATAGGGGCGAAGGGCCATTAAGTTGAATGTGCAAGAGAAGCCACAAGAAGACCTTCCTTCTTGGGTGTGGAATTGCAGGTAAACCACTGAATTCTCAAGCCTCTGTTCCTCAGCAAGGGGTAATGAGGGCTGTCATGGGGATTAAAGGACATATAAGACACACTAAGCAGGACGCCTGATGCACCAAATGGCAGGTAATATTACTGATCAATAGCAACATTATGTGATGACCAGGGGAATCTGGATTTGTTAAAAGGTGTCAAGAGTTGGGGGATAAAGGGGCACAATAATTTGCAACCACAATATAAGTTGGTCACAGGGACAGTAGGACAGCATGGAGAATATAGTCAATGATTCTGTAACATCCTTATGTGTTGATAGATAGCAACCCCACTAGAGGGGGTGAGGATTTAAAAATTTGGGTATCTGTTGAACTACTGTGCTATATACATTTGAAACCAATATAAGATTGTATATCAATGAAACTTCAATAAAAAAACAAAAGGTGTCAAGAGTTCTGGCATAAATCCATCCAAATACCCACAAATGGCTCTTAAGGAGAGCCTCCCAAGATTCCCCTGCCCCAAGTCCCAACACGTGTCTGGGTTGTTCAACAATGAATGTCTTCTAATATTTGCTCATCAATTCCGATTGAAAGATAGACCCTCTTCTTCCCCAGCTAGACCAATGACCCCGTGAGCACAGAATCATGCCTCACTTACCCTCATGTGCCCAGCACCGAGCTTGATACTTGGCAGTGAGCATGCACCCAATAAATGTTTAAATGAATGAACAAAAAAATAGTAACAATTGAAAACACAGAGCCACCATTCCCCTTGCTACACTACTGAACTGCACCTGCAGGTATGGATCAGTTTCCACTTGATGAAAACACACATGCCCTCTTACCTTCTCTAGGTGTAGATTCATCCATCGAGTAAAGGTCCTCTTTTGCACATTTTCCCTTTCAACTGAAACAGAGAAGCGTCATTAGCTGGGTGAAAAGAAATACGTGCTAAATCCCTCCCTCCTCTTCACAAGAGGGTTTCTAGGTGGACAGCAGACAGAGCCAGAGGGTCCCATGTATGAATGGAGCCCTTCCCAAAAGGGGGCTGGGAAGGGGTGGCACCTAGAACCCACATCCCCCAGCCCAACCCCCAGAGCATCTTAAATAGATTAAATCCCTATGAATTCAGACACACAAAACAAAATGTTCTACACAACCCAGTGTGAGCATTTGGACAGTTGGCTCTCCAGGTGAAGATGTGCTTATGGGAAAATACAAATTAAAACCACCAAATGACAGTGCCACACACCTGCCGGGCAGGAGTGATGACCTTAGGAGCTGGCATGGAGGAGAGGGCGATTAGGGACTAGGATGGGGCTCTAGAATGTGCCACAGTGTGGGGGAACGAAGTTGGCATTCCCACATCAGACTGTTAGCCCTGTCACCTCCCAGCTTTGTGTCCGTGGGCCAGCTGCCTGTCCCCAAGTCTGAGCTGACCCATGAAAACAAGAAGTTCACTGCCAGCTGAAAAGAAATCTGCCATACTGCAAGTCAAGGTCAGCACAGTGCCCGGCACAACAGCTCATATCTTTTCTTTGTCCTTCTTATTTTTAGAGCTGGGGAATACACTGTGCCCTCCGGGAAGGGGGGCTCCCTGCTCACTGGGGCTCTGCAGGGGACACCACCATGAGCAGGGGACACCGCCACAGAGATCCCTTCTCCCAGGGAAAGCGTTTCCCAAACAGGTTTCTTAGGAAAGAGCCTTCCTTTTCAAGGGCTACTGCCATCTACTCGGCACTAGTTGCCTCCCAGACACTTCGTTTCCATTAATCTTTAAAACTGACAACACCGCCTGCAAAGTAGAAACTGTCATTTTGCAGATGAACCAAATGGGGCTCAGAGAGGTACCATGACTTTCCCAGGGCACCAGCTGGAGACACGCAGAGCTGTGCATCACCCCCCGGTCTACCTGCCCCCCGTCAGCACCCTGGAAATGGAAGATCTGAATTCCAGCTCTTCCAATTACGGCAAAGGCGTCCTCAATAGTAACAATGACCAAATGAATATGATGTCACAAGCCTTCGCTCTGTGGCACTTCATACACATTCAGTAACTGAATCCTTACTACAGCTCTTAGAGACAGAACTATTATAACCTGCAGGTAGGAAAACGGAGGTGCTCACCCAGCGTCACAAAAGGTTATTGTTTCTATGTTACAGATGAAGAAACTGAGGGTGAAAGAGCTAATAAGCGGCAAAGCTGCAGCTTGGAGCCGCATTCTGGGCCACATGGCATTAGCTGGCTTGGTGCTGTTGGAGGCGCCGGGGCCTGGGCCTGGGGCCTGGGGGGCCTGTGCCAGCAGCCCCCCTACAGCTCAACTGCTATGCCTCTCAGGAAGCTTCCTGGAAATGTCTGAGCCAGATGACTCCTGAATCACTATGTTCTGGATTTCAACATAACACATATGCTTAAAACCATTTCACATTTCTTTAGCAATAAGAAAATGAGAGGCAATTTATCTCTGGGGAGAAAAAAGGGTATAGTTTTCCATAATGACTATGGTTCTTTTTTCCTCTCAGCCTCGTTATTAGGTAGATAGTAGGGTCCATAAATCAAATTTTAATATTGTGCCTTTCAATCTTTTTAATTGAGGAGCCAGCAGACAGTAATTATGCACATAACTGCTTTTTTTTTCTCATATTCCCCCTTTTTCTGGAAGGGAAGGTCACTGGCATGTAGGCGTAAGAATTAAAGATCTAATTCCAGTAAACTGTTTCATGGGGAGGGAGGGGAGCGAGGGGAGGGAGAACGGAAAAGAAGCTGATAGAAATGAGTAGGGAGAGGGGCATTTGCTGGGGCCATGAGTTATTGAGTCTCAGAACTTTGCAGAATATTGGAGAAAATCCCACCTCAAGCCCCATTTGAGATATTTCTGCCTCTGTAGCTTCTTACCATGGTATGTTGTTCCCTAGTTTAGTTACCATTCTCTGTTGACGGCACTTAGCTATCTCCAGTTTTTCACAGTTAGGAGCAGAGTAGCCATGAGCATCCTGGTCCAAGTGCCCTGGCATGTGCTTCTTTGTGCACAAAACCTATGAATACATTTCTCACGCTTGACAAGTAAAAGTGGAACTGCTGGGTCTTAGTGGTAGGCACAGTTAAAATTTTAATAGCTACTTCCAAATTGCCCTCCCCAAAGGCTGCCCCAGTTTATATCTTCACCCCCACCTGTCTTTAAACAAGTTTATGGGATTGTAAAGTATTTGCACACACATTCAAACACTCAGGCTTGTTTCTCCATATGGTGGCCAAGAGAGCAAAGTATATCTCCTGAAACAGAAGTGCGCTCAGGGAAAGCCTGGGGGAACCTGTGCTGGGCTGTGGATCTACCCATGAGGAAGGGTGCCAACAAGCAGGCGGCTGTCTGTTAGTCTGTATATGCCTCATCCATCCACCCACCCACCCATCCGTCCATCTATACATCCTTCCAGCCAACTAAGTATCCATACATCCTTTCATCCACCCATCCACCCTCTCAGCTGACACTTATTCAGTGATGAGTATATGCCAGGAACTATGCCAGACCCTGTGGGCAAAATCAGAAATAAAGAATTAAGCATCTGTGGCCTCTGTACTACCGGAACTCACAGCCAAGCAGGAGACAAAACACAGACCCCACAAGGCACATAGACAAGGAGAAATGAATTGGAAATGTCTGGGGCTGGTGGGTGGGGGAGGAGGTTTCAGACCCCAAGGGGTACTACTCCGGAGGGTCCCACAGCAGAACGGGATACAAGGCCTCCTGAAGGCATGGACAGCATCCCAGCCCTTCCCCGACCCAGAGTCAGCTTCTGGGAGACTTCCCTTCCAGCCATGGCCCACGGTGAGTCTGGGTACAATTCAGTTTTGACAGCAGAGCTGACCCACGGGAAGGCAAGGTGATGACCAAGGAGCCAACAGGACCGTGGGACTAAACTGCATGTGACAGGCATGTCCCCAACTGAAACAGGGTCTGGAAACCATGTTTTCTGGACTTGAAACTGGGACACATCACTCAATACACAGGAGAGACAGACTGCCAGAACTTAGCCTGCCCCAGAACGTCCCCTTGAGAGCCACACACCATAAGCCAGGCCACCTTGGATGGGCTCATAACTTTCAAGACACCTTTGCCTCAGTGTCCTGTCTGTAGAATGAGGACAATTGTGCCTCCCTCACAGGCATGCCATGAAGAGTCAATGGGATCCCCCCCAGAGGCAGCCCCAATAGCTGTCCCATAAGGGTCACCTTCTCCGGCCCCCACAGCCACACAACACGCCCTGAACTTGGGGCATTTTGTCTGGTGTCTCAACACCGAGGTCTGACCCCCTTTCATGGACTTCCTCATCTCAAAATACCCACCCCTGCCTGCAGGCCTTTTCTACTTCTGGCCTGCCAAGACTCCATAAACTTTATATAGTTTCCATAAATCCAATGGCCCCTTTTTTCCACCGCGGCTCTCACATTGTAAAGGTGTAGGAAGCCGTTTCTCTGGAAGGGTCTGGCCTTCTCATGGAGTGTTTGTGAGGCCCGGTGTGGGTCTGCTGGGCAACAGAAAAGTAATAACGGTGCTGTAAAATTGCCATCGCCGGCGCTGCCTGGCGGGCCAGGGTGCCCAAGGGTGGGCGTGGCGTGGAACAGGGGCTCACCAGGCCCGGGACCCTGGGAAGGGAGACAGAAGGGAGGCCCAGCCTTCTGGCTCAACTCCACCATCCCAAATGCCCAGACGTGACTCTGGCCCCTGCTTTGCAAAGAACAGACCATTTGAAACTGCATTCTGCCCTTCTCCAGGCCACCAGTGGCCAGCTCTGGAGGTGGGAACCACAGAGAAGGGGGCACTGGCTCTGAGGGTTAAAACAGACTCATTTACCCTTGTGGCCTTTGTCCCTATGTCCACATTATCCACAAACCTACTTCCTCCATAATATTCCCTGTATCATATTTCTGCTCTTCCCTGCCCATTAGGAGGGGCTTGATGGCTTTATCCATTTATAAAATTATATGCTCATTATAAAAAATGAAGGAACATAGGAAAGTGAAGAGAACTATATATAAAATCTCTTAAAATCTCATTAGACCTGGAGATCACTGCTGCCGGCATTTTATTGACCATCTTTCCAGAACCATACACATGCACGCAGCACACACACGCAGAGCTAATGCCTATAGATACACACGTACATAGTTTCAGTGAGGCAGCATTTCTTAAAGCAGAGCCCCTGGATCACTAGCATCAAGAGCTTCTGGGGTGACAGTAAAAATCCTAATTCCTGGACCCCATCCAAGACCTACTGACACTCTCTGGGGCTAAGCCCTGAGAATCTGAATTTAACCAGCTTAGCAGGTGATGACATATATAGTTTGAGAACCCAGGTCTTGCTGGGAAGAGACAGTTGGCATGGTTCTTTGGTCATCTTGGACAGAATAGAGAATGGAATGGGCATGTCACCTGGTACAGGAGAAAGACCAGCGGTCTGCGGCCGGGCACATGGGCTCCACAGCAGACCGTAAGGTGGGGACGTGGATGTAGCTCCTGGGCCTGCTGCAACAATGAAGTGCAATCGCTTACTGGCACTGGGCAAGGAAAAAGGTCATTCCCATTCCTTCTTTGCCCAAAAGGCTCCTCCTGAGAATGGCTTCAGTCACTGCATTCATATAGGTGGGAGGTCCTGGTTCTCCAGAGAGAAGAACTGGAATTCACCTAGCTGGACTGCAGACCAGGATTCCTGCAGGAGAGACTTATTTTGTGACATCCACCCAGAGGGGTCAGTTGGAAGCACTCATTTTCAGCTTCAGAGGCACTGCCCGGGCAGAAGGAGGGAGGCAGGTGGGGTGAGATGTGGCTCATCTCTATGCACTCATTCCTCCAAGCCACAGGTGCAGGAGGCTGAGGGGCGCCGGCAGGGCTAGTGAAGCCCCCAGGAC